CGGGTTACGATCGCAGTATACGGATTACAATAGGAGTATACGGATTACGATCGCAGTATACGGATTACGATCGCAGTATACGGGTTACGATCGCAGTATACGGATTACGATCGCAGTATACGGGTTACGATCGCAGTATACGGGTTACGATCGCAGTATACGGGTTACGATCGCAGTATACGGATTACGATCGCAGTATACGGATTACGATCGCAGTATACGGATTACGATCGCAGTATACGGGTTACGATCGCAGTATACGGATTACGATCGCAGTATACGGGTTACGATCGCGGTATACGGGTTACGATCGCAGTATACGGGTTACAATAGGAGTATACGGATTACAATCACAGTATACGGGTTACGATCGCAGTATACGGGTTACGATCGCAGTATACGGGTTACGATCGCGGTATACGGATTACGATCGCGGTATACGGGTTACGATCGCGGTATACGGGTTACGATCGCGGTATACGGGTTACGATCGCGGTATACGGATTACAATCGCAGTGTACGGATTACGATCGCAGTATACGGGTTACGATCGCAGTATACGGGTTACGATCGCGGTATACGGGTTACAATCGCAGTATACGGGTTACGATCGCAGTATACGGATTACAATCGCAGTATACGGATTACGATCGCAGTATACGGGTTACAATCGCAGTATACGGGTTACGATCGTAGTATACGGATTACGATCGCAGTATACGGGTTAGAATCGCAGTATACGGGTTACGATCGCAGTATGCGCGTTACGATCGCAGTATACGGGTTACGATCGCAGTATACGGATTACAATAGGAGTATACGGATTACGATCGCAGTATACGGATTACGATCGCAGTATACGGGTTACGATCGCAGTATACGGATTACGATCGCAGTATACGGTACGTTACGATCGCAGTATACGGGTTACGATCGCAGTATACGGGTTACGATCGCAGTATACGGATTACGATCGCAGTATACGGATTACGATCGCAGTATACGGGTTACGATCGCAGTATACGGGTTACGATCGCAGTATACGGATTACGATCGCAGTATACGGGTTACGATCGCGGTATACGGGTTACGATCGCGGTATACGGGTTACGATCGCAGTATACGGGTTACAATAGGAGTATACGGATTACAATCACAGTATACGGGTTACGATCGCAGTATACGGGTTACGATCGCAGTATACGGGTTACGATCGCAGTATACGGATTACGATCGCAGTATACGGGTTACGATCGCGGTATACGGGTTACGATCGCGGTATACGGGTTACGATCGCGGTATACGGATTACAATCGCAGTGTACGGATTACGATCGCAGTATACGGATTACAATCGCAGTATACGGACTACAATCGCAGTATACGGGTTACGATCGCGGTATACGGGTTACGATCGCAGTATACGGATTACAATCACAGTATACGGGTTACGATCGCGGTATACGGGTTACGATCGCAGTATACGGGTTACAATAGGAGTATACGGATTACGATCGCAGTATACGGATTACAATCGCAGTGTACGGATTACGATCGCAGTATACGGATTACAATCGCAGTATACGGATTACAATCGCAGTATACGGACTACAATCGCAGTATAACGGGTTACGATCGCAGTATACGGGTTACGATCGCGGTATACGGATTACGATCGCAGTATACGGGTTACGATCGCAGTATACGGGTTACAATCGCAGTATACGGATTACATAAAAAGCTGCAAGTAAATCGTATCCATTCATTTATAAACTGGTGACAGGAAAGGGTTATCGCGATGGGAAAGTCGCCACTTTGGTGTCATTAGATCAGCGCTCGTTTTTAGCACATGACTTCATAGCGAGCGCCGGGACCGCCGCCAGAGAGAGCGAGCGAGCGTCTCGCCGATGAGAATGACAGCGTGTGGGACGTGTAGGCGGGGGTGCGACCAGCGACAACAAAGGTGCCAAGGAGGACGAGGATTACTTCTCATCTCTCCGTTCCTGAACCGCGCAGCATCCCGTCATCGCTGTCCCCCCCCGAGGGAACCGCCATCGCTGTGACCCCGAGGGAGCCGCCATCGCTGTGATCCCCAGGGAGCCGCCATCGCTGTGACCCCGAGGGAGCCGCCATCGCTGTGACCCCGAGGGAGCCGCCATCGCTGTGATAACCAGGGAGCCGCCATAGCTGTGACCCCGAGGGAGCCGCCATCGCTGTGACCCCAAGGGAGCCGCCATCGCTGTGATCCCGAGGGAGACGCCTTCGCTGTGATCCCGAGGGAGACGCCTTCGCTGTGACCCCGAGGGAGCCACCATCGCTGTGACCCCGAGGGAGCCGCCATCGCTGTGATAACCAGGGAGCCGCCATAGCTGTGACCCCGAGGGAGCCGCCATCGCTGTGACCCCGAGGGAGCCGCCATCGCTGTGATCCCCAGGGAGCCGCCATCGCTGTGACTCTGAGGGAGCCGCCTTCGCTGTGATCCCCAGGGAGCCGCCATCGCTGTGACCCCGAGGGAGCCGCCATGGCTGTGACCCCGAGGGAGCCACCATGGCTGTGACCCCGAGGGAGCCGCCATCTCTGTGATCCCCAGGGAGCAGCCATCGCTGTGACCCCGAGGGAGCCGCCATCACTGTGACCCCGAGGGAGCTGCCATCGCTGTGACCCCGAGGAAGCCGCCATTGCTGTGACCCCAGGGAGCCGCCATCGCTGTGATCCCCAGGGAGCCGCCATCGCTGTGACCCCGAGGGAGCCGCCATCACTGTGATCCCCAGGGAGCCGCCATCGCTGTGATCCCCAGGGAGCCGCCATCGCTGTGATCCCGAGGGAGCCGCCATCGCTGTGATCCCCAGGGAGCCGCCATCGCTGTGATCCCCAGGGAGCCGCCATCGCTGTGATCCCCAGGTAACTGCCATGGCTGTGACCCCGAGGGAGCCGCCATCGCTGTGATCCCCAGGTAACTGCCATGGCTGTGACCCCGAGGGAGCCGCCATCGCTGTGATCCCCAGGTAACTGCCATGGCTGTGACCCCGAGTTCTATCCTCCTCTCTGCTGCCCACTGCTGAGATAAGGTGGAGGTGGGGAAGAAGGGGAGCTGCAGCTGCAGGAGAGGTGCGAGGGAGCATTTAGAAAAAAATATACATCAGAGTCTTCCTTTCACACCAGAAGCCACACACACACACACACACACACACACACACACACATACATCTGAGTTGCTGCGGACCAAGTGAAATCTTGTAGAGGGCCGAATGCGGCCCTCAGGCCATAGAGACCCCTGCTTCATATCATGTCCCTCTGTACCCTCAATCCATATGCATTAGAGGGCTGGAAACCCGCCAAGATTCTGTTCTTAAAAAAAAAGCTACGATTTCAATGCTGCTGTTGAATTTTGACACCCAATTACCCCACAATGCTTACAGCTGCAGAGATGAATGAGGGATGACTTTAAAAGCACTCTTGCCGCATGTTCAGAAAATGCAGATACTTTAGTGTGTATGATCTGGGCACAGGTTCACTTTAAGCTGGACAATCGGGGGGGGGGGGGGGGGAGATTAACTGCAACAGTGTTTGACTTGCAACTGCCTGACCCCCCACCCTGACCCCTAGCATCTACAACTTGCATAACAGCGGCAAACAACAAAACAACAGAGTAGCATGGATGTTTAAATTCCATTTAACCCCTCGCCCTCCAGAGGATTTACCGCCCTTTTACCGTTCCTGACCAGGCTATTTTCTGCGATACGGCGCTGTGTCACTTTAACTGACAATTACGCGGTCATGCAACGCTGCATCCAAATGAAATTTGTGTCCCTTTTTCCCCACGAATTGAGCTTTCTTTCAGTGGTGTTTGATCGCCTGCGCATTTTTTATTTTTTTTTTTGCGCTATGAAAAAGGCCAACAATTTTGAGAAATAAAACTATATTTTTGACTTTTTACTATTAAACACGTCCAATAAAATAAAATAAAAAAATCAAATTTCGTCATAAATTTAGGCCAAAATGTATTCTGATAAAAAAAATCATAATACGTGTAAATTAATTGGTTTATGTGAAAGATATAGCGCCTATAAATGGCGGTATAGATACGGGGATTTTTTTTTTCTTCTAGTAATGGCGGCGATCAGCGACTTATAGCGGACATTCTGACACTGGGGGGGGGGGGGGGGGGGACTGACTTGGTGTCACTGACATCCCCAGTTACAAATTTTTGAGCAAAAAACTATATTTTTAACTTTTTGCTATTAAACATGTCCAATAAAATTTTTTTTAAAAATCTAATTGCGTCATAAATTTGGGCTAAAATGTATTCTGATAAAAAAAAAATCCCAATACGTGTAAATGAATTGGTTTACGTGAAAGATATAGCGCCTATAAAAGGTGGTATAGATACTGGGATTTTTTTTTTCTTCTATTAATGGCGGCGATCAGCGACTTATGGCAGGACTGCGGCGGGCATTCTAACACGGGGGGGGGGGGGGTGGGGGGGGGGGGGGGGGGGGGGGGGGGGACTGACTTGGTGTCACTGACATCCCCAGTGACAATTTTGAGAAAAAAAAATGTATTTTTAACTTTTTGCTATTACACACGTCCAATAAAATAATTTTAAAAATCAAATTTCGTCATAAATTTAGGCCAAAATGTATTCTGCTAAAAAAAAAATCCCAATATGTGTAAATTAATTGGTTTACGTGAAAGATATAGCGCCTATAAATGGCGGTATATAGACTGGAATTTTTTTTCTTTTAATTGGTTTACGTGAAAGTTATAGTGGTGGTATACATACTACTGGAATTTTTTTTTTTCACTAGTAATGGTGGCGATCAGCGACTTATAGTGGGTATTCTGACACTGGGGGGGAACTGACCTGGTGTCACTGACATCCCCAGTGACACCAATACAGTGATCAGTGCTAATAGAATGCGCTGGCGCTGTACTAATGGCACTGGGCAGGAAGGGGTTAACATCTGGGCCCATCAAAGGGTTAACTGTGTGCTGATTTACTACTGTGCTGTGCAGAGCCATACAAAGCAGTGTGCAGGAGCTGACAGGGGAGAGATCTGCATTGTTTACACACAGGTCTCTCCCCCGTCGGAGATACTCGGCGATCACTGGCCGGCACCTGGTGATTGACAGCTGAGGCCACGAATGGTGGCGCAGGTAGGACATGCGCTCACCTCCACCCCAGAACTGCGAAATCACACATTATATATATAAAGACCTGGCAACCTACCCTGTAAAAATAATTGCTAAGAGAATTCATGGAAAAAGTCACTTACGAGTGACGGTCCGTGCAATCGCCAAGGGTCGGATACGACTGAATGGATATATATATATATACACGTGATTTTGCGCACCCGTGCCGCCCTGTAGCAGTACTTCTTCTATAGGGCGGCGCGGAAGCGGTTAATTTATCATTGACACCCGCACCAGATCGCATGAACGGTAAATCGTAAACATCGGTAAATCTCAGAGCTCGCCGGGTGCCGATGGGGAATCACCGGCCGGGACCCAGTGATTGACAGCTGCGGCCACGAATGGCAGCGCTAGTAGGGTGTGTAACCGGCTCGCGTACGCCCCCTACCTGTAGATGCAAAATCAGGTATATATACGTAATTTTGCGCACCCGTCCCGCCCCGTAGCAGTATTTCTTCTTTGCTGTTGCTGTGCTGTTCCATGTATTGTCCCCCTTCCCCTCTATTGTACAGCGCTGAGCAAACCCTTTGGCGCTATATAAATTTGATGTAATATTAATAGGGCGGCACGGAAGCGGTTAATTTATCATTGACACCCGCACCAGATCGCATGAACGGTAAATCGTAAACATCGGTAAATCTCAGAGCTCGCCGGGTGCCGATGGGGAATCACCGGCCGTGACAAAGTGATTGACAGCTGCAGCCACGAATGGCAGCGCTAGTAGGGTGTGTAACCGGCTCGCATACGCCCCCTACCTGTAGATGCAAAATCAGGTATATATATACGTAATTTTGCGCACCCGTCCCGCCCCGTAGCAGTTTTTTTTTTGCTCTGCCGTTGCTGTCCTTTTCCATGTATTGTCCCCCCCCCCCCTCTATTGTACAGCGCTGAGCAAACCCTTTGGCGCTATATAAATTAGATGTAATAATAATAATAGTAGGGCGGCGCGGAAGCGGTTAATCGAAGGTCTTTGTTATGCACACTCAGATTTTGGGAGACTGCGGGCTCGATTCACAAAGCTAACACACCATAATAGGGCTCCTTATTTTTACCATAAGTGCCGGTTATTTTCAGCTACATCCAATGAGATACGAATATTAGAGTCCAAGGGCGGACTGACCATTTGGAAACTCGGGTACTGCCCGGGGGCCCGGGGTCAGTAGGGGGCCCCATGAGATACCCCTGGTACCTTTTTCATAGGCTTTTTTGAGTTTGGGCAAGGACACAGAGGCACCATGATCCCCTATTGCCCGGGGGCCCCATGAGTTGTCAGTCCGCCCCTGTTAGAATCACACGGCTGGGAGGAAAGGTCTTTATCCTCGTGACTCCTCCGACCAATCAGACTTAACCCGGCCATACATTACAGGACCTGATGGAGCAATTTCTCTGCAATCTTCGCATGCATTCAGTTTGCATCCCGTCAGGCCGGCCCTCCTACCATCTAGTCGATTGGTAGATCTAAAGGAGACGATACAATCAGATTGTACAATGGATGTCCGTCGTTTGCAGATGAATTACTGGATATAAATCCTTCCTAAACGATCCTGCGCAGTTCTAATGATGACAGATTGCGTCCTCGGATTCGGCCGTAAGCCCAATTACCTTCTCTTTGGGTAACATACAAACAGATTTCACCTTCGTGCCTCCTACAGCGGTCTTATAATATCTCTAATTCACGCAGACGTTTCCCGGCTGATACACGGGCAGATTAGTGGTGATTATTTCCAACCGCGGCATTTAACGTGATCCAAATCGAGACGGAAATTACAGAGAGCGACAGTCAGCTGCATAAAGGTCACCCTTCACTCAGAGGAAACTTCCCGCGCCGAACTCTTCAATCTGAGCGCCAAGGTTGTAATAAATATAATATACTCTCGCCGAGGCTTCGTGTGCCAGAAAAACCAACCGGCTGGGGGCGGCGGCCAATAAAATGATGATTTAATAGCGAGGATGCAGGGAGAGGCTGTGTTTCTGCCCATCCCACAATGGGGTGATCTCCTGCAGTAGTTTGTGTCTCTGCCCCTCCCACAATGGGGAGATTTCCCTGTGGTAGTTGGTGTCTCTGCTCCTCCCACAATGAGGAGATCTCCCCCAGTAGTTTGTGTCTCTGCCCCTCCCATAATGGGGAGATCTCCCCCAGTAGTTTGTGTCTCTGCCCCTCCCACAATGGGGGAGATTTCCCTGCAGTAGTTTCTGTCTCTGCTCCTCCCACAATGGGGAGATTTCCCGCAGTAGTTTCTGTCTCTGCCCCCCCTCCCACAATGGGGAGATTTCCCCCAGTAGTTTCTGTCTCTGCTCCTCCCACAATGGGGAGATTTCCCCGCAGTAGTTTCTGTCTCTGCCCCTCCCACAATGGGGAGATTTCCCCCAGTAGTTTCTGTCTCTGCCCCTCCCACAATGGGGAGATTTCCCCCAGTAGTTTCTGTCTCTGCTCCTCCCACAATGGGGAGATTTCCCGCAGTAGTTTGTGTCTCTGCCCCTCCCACAATGGGGAGATTTCCCCGCAGTAGTTTCTGTCTCTGCCCCTCCCACAATGGGGAGATTTCCCCCAGTAGTTTCTGTCTCTGCCCCTCCCACAATGGGGAGATTTCCACCAGTAGTTTCTGTCTCTGCTCCTCCCACAATGGGGAGATTTCCCGCAGTAGTTTGTGTCTCTGCCCCTCCCACAATGGGAAGATTTCTTGAAGTAGTTTCTGTCTCTGCCCCTCCCACAATGGGGAGATTTCCGCAGTAGTTTGTGTCTCTGCCCCTCCCACAATGGGGAGATTTCCCGCAGTAGTTTGTGTCTGTGCCCCTCCCACAATGGGGAGATTTCCCGCAGTAGTTTGTGTCTCTGCCCCTCCCACAATGGGAAGATTTCTTGAAGTAGTTTCTGTCTCTGCCCCTCCCACAATGGGAGATTTCCCCGCAGTAGTTGGTGTCTCTGCCCCTCCCACAATGGGGAGATTTCCCGCAGTAGTTTGTGTCTCTGCCCCTCCCACAATGGGAAAGATTTCTTGAAGTAGTTTCTGTCTCTGCCCCTCCCACAATGGGGAGATTTCCCGCAGTAGTTTGTGCCCCTCCCACAATGGGGAGATTTCCCGCAGTAGTTTGTGTCTCTGCCCCTCCCACAATGGGGAGATATTCTGCAGTATCAGTTCTATGTGGAGTTGTCATTAATATGTAATATGGGGGGGAGGGGGGGTACAGATCTGATTCCTCTCCCTAGGACCCCGAGGCGGGATGACGTCCCCGGGGACAGACAGGAATTCTGGGCAGTAAGTCGATGTCGGGGATTACACAAGCGGCTCAGGTCTGCAGCGAGACGCCTGATTGTGTCCCGGGGCGGAATGTGCGGAGCTGGAACTGCTAATCCAAGCTGGCAGCGCCGAGCGCACACTTCTCTCCCAGGAGACGCTTCTTAGGTGTGAAATGGAGCGGGAATGGAAAGACGTTCGCCTCATCCGGGGAGGAAAATCGCAGGAAACACGGCCAACTGAAACCCGGATTCTGCTGCCTGTCCGTGTGCAGATTGTCAACCACAGCCTGACCCACATCTCCCGCACACCCATCCCCCCATATTACATGTCATTATAGCTCTGACATATACCACGGCGCTGTACAGAGATCACTGAGCCAGGAACATCAGTCTCTGTACCAGAGGAGCTTACACTCTAATGTCCCCTCCCCCACAGTCCCATCAGTCTCTGTACCAGAGGAGCTTACGCTCCAATGTCCCCTCCCCCACAGTCACATCAGTCTCTGTACCAGAGGAGCTTACACTCTAATGTCCCCTCCCCCACAGTCCCATCAGTCTCTGTACCAGAGGAGCTTACACTCTAATGTCCCCTCCCCCACAGTCCTGTCAGTCTCTGTACCAGAGGAGCTTACACTCTAATGTCCCCTCCCCCGCAGTCCCATCAGTCTCTGTACCAGAGGAGCTGACACTCTAATGTCCCCTCCCCCACAGTCCCATCAGTCTCTGTACCAGAGGAGCTTACACTCTAATGTCCCCTCCCCCACAGTCCCATCAGTCTCTGTACCAGAGGAGCTTACGCTCTAATGTCCCCTCCCCCACAGTCACATCAGTCTCTGTACCAGAGGAGCTTACACTCTAATGTCCCCTCCCCCGCAGTCCCATCAGTCTCTGTACCAGAGGAGCTGACACTCTAATGCCCCCTCCCCCGCAGTCCCATCAGTCTCTGTACCAGAGGAGCTGACACTCTAATGTCCCCTCCCCCCGCAGTCCCATCAGTCTCTGTACCAGAGGAGCTGACACTCTAATGCCCCTGATGTAATTTCTGTGGCCCTCGTACTGGACAGTGTGGAGGATGGGACCAGTGGGTGGGATTCGGGGTCTCTGTAGGTGTTGGGTGGGCTGGGTGTTGTTTTTCCTCGATTTTTTTTTATTTTTTTTTTCCCTCATTTGATGGTTTTGATCCCCGGAGACGTTCCATGTGATCTATGAGTGTCATTAATCGCTCCTCCGCGTTCAGTAAATCATCTTCTCATTTACATTTAGTAGCGGTTGGACGGCGCGCTGAACAAGACGACATTTCATTCTCTAACACTTCAAGTAAACGACTTTCTGGATGAACGGATCGATCTGTGACGGGGAACGTTACTTTGAAAATGAACCCCCAACACGCCCTCCCTCCTCATCCAATCATCAGATCAGATGTCAGTCTGGACCTCAGTGGATCCCCTCTGCACACTGACCACAGGGGGCGCTCTGTGCTGCTCTGCCAAGGTGCCCCCTGTGCTCCGTCCTCCAGAGTGGGGGGTGCTCTTATACAGGAGGTGTGTTACTGGCCAGATCACCAGGTGAAAACAAAAGGGGGAGAAAACCTATGAAAAGAAAACGAATGCAGCCGCCACATCTAATGATTGGTAAGCTGCAATACAGGGTATGATTGGTTTGGGTTTCATACTGCCTTAAGGTGAA